TTGAACAGGCAATCTTGTTACACCAGCTGAGCCATCCTGCTACCTGTTGGCAGCTCAGTGACAGCTCAGCTCAGGCACAGCGTCACTGGCCCATGTGGGAATCAAACCAGAGGCCCTGTTGCTCAGAGCCCGTGCTCTTAAGACAACTCTTAACCAACTGAGCCACTCGGCCAGCCTGAGAGAATTCTAATTAGCCTCTCTGGCTCTGGCTTTGCCTTTTCCAATTGATCTTACTTTCCTTTGCTAGCTTAAGTTGTTTCCATGAGTTTTTTGTTACGGAAGTAACTGATCATTCAGTTCTTGAGTGATCATTTGGTATATAATTAAGTGATCTTATGATCACTGTGATCAGTAATCTATGACATGTTCCTTTTCTTCTGTCTTGAAGTTTAAGTTACTAAAATAATATGTACTTTAATTATTAAAGTTTTATTTAAATAAAATCTGTATGTTTCAGTGGTGAAATGTTCTTTATGTTTTTAATTAGTGGCTTGCATTTTTTTTGTATTTAAATTTGACTTTTATTCAAGATGTACATGCACAGAGTTAAAAAATAGAATTAAATGCTCATCATGATGTAAAATAGCAGTCCTCTGCTTTTCACCTTCCCACTCCCACTCTCCAGAGGTAACAAGCTTTTGGCAGTTCTGTCCATAATTTGAAATGATATGCATATTGCTATTTCTTGACTTATGGATTTCAAACCTTAATTTTGAGTAGTAAACATGAAGAAACTAGTGGGAGAGCAAGACAGGTAAATAAAAAAGGGAAATAAAATCTAAGCTGATATATGCTACAATAGAGTTCTGCACAAGTTTTTTGGAGTCCCTAAATAACGGGTAGGAATTTTAGGTCTTTCAAATTGCTTTTAAGAATAATGGTATTACAGATATATGAAAGGATGCTCAGCTTCACTAGCTATTAGGAAAATGCAAATCGAAACCACAATGAGATACCACCTCACACCTGTTAGAATGGCTGTTATCAGCAAGACAAGTAATAACAAGTGTTGCAGAGGCTGTGGAGAAAAAGGAACCCTCATACACTGCTGGTGGGAATGTACATTTTACAGCCACTTTGGAAAACAGTATGGAGGTTCCTCAAAAAATTAAAAATACAGTCCCTCTTCTGGGTATCTACCCCCAAAAATCTGAAAACATTTATTTATAAAGACATATGTACCCCTACATTTATCGCAGCATTATTCACAGTGACCAAGACATGAAATCAACCAAAGTGTCCTTCAATAGGTGATTGGATAAAGAAGATATGGTACATACATGCAATGGAAAACTATTCAGCCATAAGAAAAGATGAAATAGTGCCATTTGTGACAATGTGGATGGATCTTTAGATTATCATGCTAAGCGAAATAAGTCAGGCAGAAAAAGTTGAGAACCATATGATTTCACTCATACCTGGGATATAAAACTGAAGGGAACAAGCAAACAAGACAAACAAGGAAGCAAAAACTCATAGACACAGACAATAGCTTTGTCGTTACCGGGGGTAAGAGGGAGGGGGATCAAATATATGGTGATGGAAGGAGAACTGACTCTGGGCGGTGAACACACAATGCAATATACAGATGATGTATTTACAGAATTGTACACTTGAAACCTATATAATTTTACTAACTAATGTCACCCCAATATATTTAATAAGGAAAAAGAAAAACAATAACTGTATTGTTTAAGCTTTGATTAGCAGTAAACAAGAGAGTGCTCACATCTTTCTGTATTCCTGCCAACATTAGGTAGAACTCAGCATTAAATTTATGCTATTGTGATGACATACGAGTATAGTGGTATCTCATTGGTTTTTTAATTTGCATCTTCCTGATAACTAGTGATTTTGAGCATTTTAAACTATACTTGATAACTAGTCTGGCTTCTCCTGAGAAACTGCCTTTTCTGGTGTTTTGCTCACTTTTCTATTAGTTTCCTTTGAGTGTATATTCTAATATTAATTCCTTGTTGGTTTTAGGTATTCTCTTGGTTTGTTTATAAAATTTATCTACAGTATCCTTCACTGAAAAATTCTCATTTTGATGTTGCCAACTTCATCAATTTTATGCCTGATTATTTGTGGTTTTAAGTCTCATTTCAGAATTGTTTTTTTTTACTCCTAGATCTCAAAAATAGTTGCCCAAAATTATTTTATTGGCTTTGAAAAGGTAACTTTAACGTTAAAACTGTTTAATCTCACTGGAATCTAAATTTGCATATGGTGTAAAATAAGTAGCTAAGTTTATTTTTTGTCATATTCTGAGACTGTTTTTCTTTCTCTATACAATGCATCACCACCAAAGTTTGCTTTTACTTTGTGATATTACCCTTACTATATATAAAGCTGTCGTTGAAATATGGGTTTATTTTTGAACTCTATATTCTTGCATCTGTGCCTGCATCCTAATATTTGGCATCCTTCTATTTGTCCTCCTGTTTTGAATTTTGCTTAGATATTAATAGGCCTTTTATAGCATATACTTTTAAAATGGGTCTGTAGGTTTTTTTCTAATTCTAGAATTTATAGATTGAGTTAGGAAAAATTGATATCCATGAATGTGGGAAAGATAAATAAGCAGTATGGAATTAGGAAATAATTTTGACTGCTAGATTTTAATAAGAAATCTGTTGCTTGGAGAAGATCCAAGATGGTGGAGTAGATAAAAAAAAATACAATACAATTAAAAGAAAAAAAGAAATCTGTTTCTTTGGGTGGCATATAACAGTCAGGAAATAATTACGAAAGAAAGATTAACAGAAGAACATTTAAGAGTGGAGCCTGCCCGTGTGCAAAATTTTATCTGTAAGAGAAATAAGAAAAACAGAAGCAGTACACAAAAAATGCAAGAATGTGAAGAACAGGAGTTTGAATTAACTTAATTTCTATGTCTTTGAGTTACCTTAGTACTTATGATTAACTAAAACAATGGTTTCAAGTTAGGCTTTGCAGAATACCTCAGGCTTTGTGGAATACCCCCCCAAAGCATCTGGGAAAATAATAGTGGTGGCCCTGAGTTATCTGAGATTCTGATTCAACCAGACGCTTCATTTTTATCTGTTTAATTAATTGACCTCCTCACTAAGATTTTATTGGAAGAAAGGATTTTTAGGCAACTGTGTTTGGAAGCTATTTAAATAAAATTAATGAAATGTCTAAATGCTCAACAAAGATGGCGTATGCTGTCATCCATCCCTTTGGTGCCTATGGCAGACATCGCTAACTGACCACTGGACTCCTTTCTGCTGCAGACTCAGATTTACTATCCACACTGCTTTCCACGTGGTCATTACCAGTCAATCAGTGTTGGTGAGCAAGTCAAACCCATTTAGTATCTATACAACACGAAGTCCTGTAATTTCACTGGATCTTCAGACTACTTATTTTAGCCGAAGAAAAGTATAAGCTGAATCTTTCAGATTGAAGAAGGAAAAGACTAGAAAAGAGAGTGGTTTTAAATAGGAAATGGATCCGGAAAATACAAATTAAAATATGTATTAAGGTAATAACCCTTACACTGCAATTATAAGGAGAAAATGCTTACTACCAATTCGTTAATCGTATAAAGGCCTTCAAAACTCATTAAGTATGTGTTGAAGAGGCAATTGAAATCAGTCATGTTTTCACTTGGGAACCTTGAGACATAAATAATTTTATTCTATAAATTTAAAAATTAATCATCAAAAGTTTAAACCTTCCAAAAGCGATGTAAGAGTAGGAAATAAAATCTACGTCTCTTGGAAATGTATCTCATGCTGTCTCCATGGTCCTTGCTTTGCATGAAACAATGGATTTGAAATTCTCTAAATTAAAATGTAGAAAATACTTCAAACATATTGAAGATTCAAAAAGCAATGAATGCATCAACAGTTATCCTTATTTGAGATTGAATATGTTTTATGTTCTGTGAAGTCATTGAACTAATTATGACATAAATTCAGAGTTGATTTTTAAAGCAGTGACAATGATTTGTCTCTGTTAACAGGGCTGCTCTAGTGTGATGTTGGGACTGAATTTGCTGAGTACTCCATATCAAGGTTGACTTCAAGGTCTTGTGGGAGAACTGCAAGAAATAGGTAAGTGGCCTTTTGGGAATCATTCTCTTTTTTTCATTGTGCATATTTCTGTTTTTCTAATGTTATTTTATTCTTTAATTTTTGGGTTCTGTATCTTTGCCCAAAGGTCAAAGTGTTATCAGTGAACCAGAGACATGTCAAGTATGGCGAGAGGACTATTTGCCTCTGTCTCTTCTCTTGGGCTTCCCATTTTACTCCTGCTGTGCTCTCTCTTCCTAGTAAACTTGGTCTCACTTTCTTTTTGAAAATTAACTTAAGTATATGTATGCATCATGTGAATTTGGTTTTAAAATATTGAAAGGATCAGGCAAGAAAAGCCCTTGGAGTATTTTCTGTTACCATTATGCTGGCCTGTTACACTGATGTTTTCAGTGTTAGTTTATTAAGATTCAGTTGATATTAAGTTTGTTGGGGATCTAGAAATGTAAGAAAATAAAGAGAATAACATATTTGTAATTTTTTTCTAGAAAGTTTGATTTTTCTCATACACTTTTTGAGACCCAGCAAGGCAGCTAGCTAGAAAGCATTTGTTTTCTTTTCCATCTTGCACTTCTTTAAATCTGATGGTACTTTTCCTTGGTAATTGTGTCAATTTAGAAAACTGTAAATGCATTGTTTGGTACAAAGCAAGGACCACAGAGACAAGATGAGATGCATTTCCGAGAGATGCAGATTTTATTCCCCTTTCTTACTCAATGTATAATGTTTCTGAAAAAAATTAGTTTTCAGTGTCATTATTGAACGATGGTATCAATCAACAGTATGTCATAAGTGGCCATGTGTGTCATAATATAATTATAAAAAGAAAACAAAAATAAATTTTAGGTGAAGAATTTAAATCGTTTCTCTCCCTAGTTTTTACCCCCCAAAAGTGGGAAACCTTGGTGCCCTGGCTTTTTCAAAATTTTTTTTCTTGCCCACACCACTCCACCCCAGGATTCTTTCCCCAGGGGATTCGCCATCACCAGCAGGCCTCAGGCTTCTCCCCGTTCTGTCCACATTGTTCTGTCCTTTTCTAAAACTTCTCCAGATGGACGCTCCCAATCTTCCTGAGAGATATTTGTCAGTGTATTTGAATTATAAGGCCAAATATGTCTCACGTGTTTCACCAACTGTTTTGCCCATGCACTTCTTCTTGATGTATACCAACTTTATCATTTTGCGAGACATACAAACAAAATGATTCCATATTTATTTAGCATTTAAGGTTTTTGAAGCACTTTGGCATCTTTTTACTTCATTTTACTCTATCATTTAACTCATTAATTTTATTCTTGCATTGCTTATGATGTAGTAAGGCTGACATTATTATCCTTTGTTTAGTAAGTGGAGAGACTAAAAGGCAAAGAATTCAAATGATTTGGAAAAAGGAATATAGCTGGTTAGGATTTTACAGCTAATAATAAATAATTAGGTGTTATTAGAACCCATATCTGCTAACACTCAATCTTTTTTTTCTAGGTTATGTACATAATTTATGCTTACTACAGACAAAGGTTGGGTGATAGATTCCATGTTTGTAAGGCCTTTTAATATTTAAATGTTCATTTTTTGAGTAATAGGACATTTGCTTTAATAATAGCCAGGGGATTTTAGATTTATAAGCAGGAGTTACTTGACAATGAACTCATGGAATTATGAAAGAAACAATTTTTAGAAAAGAAATGATTTTTAGAAAATAGAGGGTCTTCTTCCCAGAAGGAAACATAATTGTGTTTGAAGTTAGTCCTCAAAATTGCTTCTGGAACTTGCTAATTAGACTCTTTCTAGTCATATGCTTATAGTAGCAGTTTTGTTTTTTTATTTCTTATATGAAGACCAACCACATATTGATATACCTAATGCATATCCATAATACCAATGGTTCATCTTAATGAAACAGCACATTCCAAAACAAGCATTTTTTTTTTCTTGGAAATATATAGACTTACGAGCCCTAGAGCTAGAGGTGTTATGCTAAGAGAAGTGCAAAATGATGGAGAAACAAGGACTTGGGAGTCAGGTGGATATGGGTTTATATTCCTGCAGCTAGCTGCTGTTAGCTGTTTTTTGTTTGTTTGTTTGTTTGTTTGTTTTGATCGCCCTAGGTTAATTTCCTGAAATCTTTGAACCTCAGTTTTCAAACAGTGAGGGACAGATATAACTGTTTTTGGATTATTGTAAGACTTTAGCACTTGATGCATAGCTGATTTCAAGAACTACTAGTTTTCTTCTTCCTTTTCCACTCCCCTGTTGTCTTCCCCCCCAAGTCCCTAAAGTGCATACGTGGTTGAATCTTCTCATTTGTAAACAATTTGTTTAGTCTTATCCCAAAAGAGGTGAAATAACCTGCCCTAGGTTATACTTCTGAAATGTGAGTTAAAATGTGGTTTCACACAACTTACAACTGGGAGTGTGTGTATCTGAGCAAATGTGTAGTTAAGTGAGTAGTGTATGTGTGTCTGTGTGTTTTACTTCACAATATTTACAATTATTTTCAGTTTCCATTGTAAAAATACTAAGTCTAAATAAAATATCAGTTTTAGTTATTTCAGTGGAGTAGAGATAAACTTCATTCTGATACTTATAGAAAATTTCTGCAGGTTTTATAAATACTTAATAAAATCAGCATCATACATGACAAAATATTTGCTCTAATTCTCAAATGATTGTAAAGCAAGTGGACTCTGCAAGGAGCTGCTGTGGCCAAGGTCGGGCTGCATCAACGTCTGAGATGCTTGGTGTGCTGACATTTTGGGGAAAACAAGCAGAGTAAACAAGGAAGTAGAGAGACTGTGGAGTGTAGTTGTTGAAAATGCAAGCGTGGAAATCAGGTTGCCTAGAAGTGAGTTATGGTTCCAAAACAAAGCTACCATATGTGAGACCTTGGGCAAATCATTTAAAGTCTCTAACCCTTAATTTCTGAATCTAGAAAATGGAAATAATAATACTGACTTTATAGAGTTGATTTGAGGACTAAGTGTGTAAATACATATAAAGAGCATAGTAAACATTACAAAAAAGTTAGTTTTTGTTTTGTTCCCTGTTATGTTAGTTTCAAAGGGTGATTGTATTATCCAGGCCACCTAGCAAATATCCTGCATAGCATTCTAACTTTGGTCCAAGAAATGGTAACAATGAATTAATTCTGCAAGCATAAATTAAATGTGCTCTCTGTGTTTTGGTTAGCATGTGTATTAGTTTTCTACTGCTGTGTAACATATTACATATTTGAAACCTTAAAACAAGATGCATTTATTATCTCATGGTTTCCAGGAGTCAGGAGAACAGGCATGGCTTACTTAGCTCAGCGTCTTACGTCACTGCAATCAAAACATTGACCAGGCTGTATTTTTCATTTGGCATTCAGAGTTCTCTTCCAAATTCACTGAGTTTGGGCAGAATTTAGTTCATTGCAGTTGTGGAACTTCAGTCCTCAGCTCCTAGAGGCCACCCATGGTTCCCGTCCACGCAGCCCTCTCCTGCAGTGGACATCGTAGCTGCTTCTTCAGAGCCAGCAGGAGAGCCTCTCTGCATGCTAGCAAGATAGAGCCGTGTGTGTGTGTGTGTGTGTGTGTGTGTGTGTGTGTGTGTATAGAACATGTATGTGTGCATTGACATAATCACTGAAGTGACACCCCATAACTTTTGCCATATTCTGCTGGTTAGAGGCAGGTCACAGTCCTGCCCACATGTAGGGGGAGGGAATTACACAGGGCATGAACATTGGAGCCACCCTAGGGTCTGTCTGCCACAGCATGTTAAATTTCTTGATTTAAAATTCATGTACTCTGTTACATTAGATTTCTACAATTATGCAATATTTAATAAAAAAGGAATATTGTCACTAATTGTAAAATTGTGTTCTCAGTTATGCATACAGTATAATTCCCCATAGGCCATTTTTCTCTGCCTAATATTTATCCATTATTTCAAGCTGGCTCACCCCCAAACTAAATACAGCCTACTCTGGTATTTAATACTTTCCAGAACCTGACAAAGCCTCACTACCCAGCCCTTTCTCCCCATTATTCCCATATACATACCCTGAACTACCTGTCCCCCACGTTGCTAGGGCACATCCTATTGTTTCTTTCCCTTTCTCCTTCTCTTTAAAGCACATTTATATCTGCCCCTCTTCCATTACATTTTCCCTATTTCTTTCCTCCTCTTTAGCCAGCCCAGGATTTTTCCCGCATAGTCTCATACCTGTATCACCTGAAGCCTTGTATATAATAGTAACTTAAATATTCACTAAATATAAAAATGCCTTCTTGATTTAGAACAGAGATCAGTTTGAGAGTCACATTCAGTTTAAGAGCCATATTTCAAAGGGTTTTCTTCATAGATTATCCAGTCTTACGTTGACTCAGTAATCAGAAGTGCACCTCAAATTACTTTAAATATCCTGTAGGAATCCATTGTTACTAACACATTCGGAACTGATGTCACGTGGGAGAAACGTAACTAACCTGGGCCTGGGGGGAAGGGCTGTGGTGGCAGCCTCTAAGGGTCCTCTGTGATCTCTATCTCCTGCTCTTCACATCATTGTTTTTTCCTCCCATATTTACCAGAGTTGGTCTATGAGGCATATAGAATGTGCCACAAGTAGTGGTATGTTGTTTTTTCAGATTAGGTTGTGCAAGCTATTCAGACGTCTATTTTGGGTGTCCTTTCTCTTTTCTTTCCCGGCCTCCCTCCCACCCAGCCCCTCTCCGTCTCCCTTCCTCTCTCTCTGGTATGACTTGCTGTGGGAAAGGCTAGCTGCCATGGAGAGGTCCATGTGGTGCAGAACTAAGCCCCCTGACCAACAGACAGGGAGGAACTGGCAGTACCTTGTAACTTCCTGAGAATCCCTAAGCCTGACCCATCCAGTTAACCGCTCCTGGATTCCTGATCCTTAGAAACTGTGAGATAATATTTTTTGTTCTAAGCTGCTAAGTATGTAGTTAATTTGTCATGTGGCAATAGATAATTAATACATTATATAATATCTCATCCCTCAAATTATTTCCACAAAT